AGGAGATGTTTTATTTAGATTGTAACATTTAGAAATACAGAGGAGATTAACCGAGAACCAGTACTGTCTTGTGTTGTAAAAGCATGATGTACTAACACACTATAAAACAGCTGGAGAACACATTCAATGGGGCTTATTAATGAAAAAATAAATATCAGAAATTTAACAATGAACAGGTAACAGTGAACAGATAACATGAATAGAACATGCTTACTCGATTTCCAAATACGAAGAAGCTAGAGTAATAAGGATAATAAAAACTCTGAATGACCTACCAGCATATCAAGAGAAACAAGTATCTACTGAAACAGCAGATGACTGAATAATCCATAATCTGTTACATGGCCAAACTGACCTCTGTTTTTCCAGCCACAAGCATTTTATTTATTTTTCCACTATACAGTGACATTAGATTCTTTTTATGCTCCAAAAGATCCTCTACAAGAGGAACAGTGCCACCCACTGAACTGTTCTTGAAAAACTTCACTAGGCTGCCTTTTATCTATTGCATTACCTAACCCTTGGGGGAATTAACTAGGTCGCCACCTAGTTAAGGGCCTTATGGGAAGGGATAATGGGATAGGAACGTGGAGCAGCAGGTCGCCACCTAGTTAAGGGCCTTATGAAAGGATTACAGAAGATTAATGCTAGTGGAAGCAGTTGTAAATCACAGCACAAGCACTTATTTGTGATGATAGCCAATTATTTACTATGAATAATTAAGCCATAGACTAGACGGGCTTTTTGCAAATAAACTTGGATCACAATTTCACTTCACAAATTTACAAATTACTAATTTAATATTTGTAGGGAGATCACATGGTTCTGAAGATGCCTAAATGAATATCAGAATCTCAGTGGATTCTTAAAAATTTATAAGAAGTCTTCTTTTACTGCACTTGTTGAATTGGAAAGTCCATAATGATCCTTTTAAGAAAATTCATAGTTCTAAAAGTTCTTGCATATTCTGAACTCTGAATCACTTCATCTCTAGTTTTAGAAGCTATGCTTAAAGTTAAGCACATTTCTTATCTATGAGCAGGTACTACTTAAATGCTAAGCTAGCAACTGATTTCTGTCAGACTAGGCCAGTCCACAGGCAAATCACTTGTATGAAATAGCACTCCTCGCACAAGCACCTAATTCGAGTTCCCTGTCTATGAAAATTGGTTTAAATACAAATGGCCAAATTATCTTTAATGCCATTACACATAAGTGGATTGATACCAGAGATAGATACAGGCTCCATATTTTTTAATCTTGTGGTTCTGTATACTTGGCAATATTATTGGGCTACGAGCATGATCAGGGGCCTGGAACATCTGCCCTATGAGGAGAGGCTGAGGGAGCTGGGCCTGTTCAGCCTGGAGAAGAGAAGGCTGAGAGGGGATCTAATCAGTGTATATAAATACCTCAAGGGAGGGAGTGCAGAGGACGGGGATGGTCTCTTTTCAGTGGTGGCCACTGATAGGACTAGAGGAAATGGCCGGAAACTGAAACATCAAAAATTCCATAGGAACTTAAGGAAAAATTTCTTCCCAGTGAGGGTGACAGAGCACTGGAACAGGCTGCCCAGAGAGGGTGTGGAGTCTCCTTCTCTGGAGATCTTCAAACCCGCTTGGATGCAGTCCTGTGCCACGTGCTTTAGGTGTCCCTGCGTATGCAGGGGGTTGGACTAGATGATCTCTAGAGGTCCCTTCCAACCCTAAGCATTCTATGATTCTATGATTACAGTAAAAAGAGCAACATTTAATTTCTTCATTTCTTACCTGGTTTCATATTCCTGGCTGACACTTAAAAATCTTAAAACAGCAAGCACTTCAGCTAAGAAAACTAATCCCTCCCAAACAATAAACTATTGAGGCTGCTCATAGTTCTGAGTCCTCTTTTACATGAGCAATGTAGGAACATAGAAAAACGTCTTGGGCAACACAAAGACAAGGCAATAAATAAATAAATAAAAGGGACATATTCCCTGGTTTTGAACTTACGGAAAGGCCCCATTTCCCCAAATGATTGCCATCAACTCCAGGAAGACTAGAAAGAGCCTCAAAGTTGGCAAAGAAATATTAAAATCCTTTCAAAAGTAAAGGTGTTGAATTCTGACTTCGTTATCTGAAAGCATACACCTAACTACCCCAACAGCTAGTTCGCACATGCCTTTGTGGTGCATATATTTTTATTGCAATACTTAGCTATCTTTCTATAATAACTGCAAAAATTTAAAGACAGTGGTGTAAGACAGAAACTCTTCTATGTGTTTGTATAAATCAAGGATTATTTTAACCTGTCAGTTTGGTATTAAGCAATATTTATCTCCATCATAAGTTACTGCAACAAATCAATACATTTTATGTACCCAGCAAGGTTACGACCTTAACGCTATCAATACCAGCCTTTCATCACACTTTACTGAACATTGATTTCTCTAAACTATTTGCCAAATGGACTGATTTTAAGCTATTTAACAACACATAGCATATATCTCGCAATCAAAGTCACAGATGGGAAGTTTACAAAGCAGGGCAGTATACATACAATCGCCTACTTACAGGCTGCTATAAAACATACCATTACACAGTTAAGCAGTCTCTGCTCACCTGTTTTAAAAGTTTCATTCATGGAACAGAAAACATATTCTCAACTACGTGCATGGAATTTCGGGTTTTACAGCAAGGCCCCTGCCAGGGGCGACACCCCGGCTCGCCCGGCAGGCTGCAAGGCGGCCCCGGGCGCAGGGAGCCGCTCGCGCACCGCGGCCCAGGCAGCGGCGGGGACGCGCCTCGCTCCCCTGAGCCTTCAGCGCCGTGACTCCTGCGTGCACGAGTCCTACAGCCTGCCACGTACAGCCTAATACTCCCCTAATGTATTAGCAGGGATGTAATCTTAATAACTTCCAAGAGTTGAGTGGTACTACCTTAAACTGCGCTACTGATAGTAGTGAGGGCAGCCCGTCCTGCCTGGGGGCGGACACCGACTTCAAGACAGGGAACTGCAGCAGCTTCGGTTCTGCCTCTTTTAAAGGGCTCGCTTTTCCTGGCTGCGGCGAATGCCCAACCTTGGATTTTCCCTTAGGAAA